GAATCAAAAGGGGGAGGGCGTCAAAAGAAAATGGCCCGCACAATGGCCGTCACCCCATGAAACCCCGGCGAAACATTGTCCAAAGAACGGGTCCCCGGCGCCGACGACGGGGCCAGCTTAGGTGGGTCCTGAGTGGAGATGGTGGCGTGCGTGTTGCGCAGCGTGCGCTCGATGCCCGCCATCACTTTGCCACAACACCAACGTCGGCGATCGCTCTCCAGAAGCGACAGCCGTGACGTCGCTGTGAAATTGTTGAGGTTCATTGCATTATAGGGATGTCTGGTAACATTCACTTTAATTCTTTTATGTCTTATCGCTTAAATCGTTCGATTGAGAAGGGGGAATGCATAGGAACCTTCGAGAGTTTGGTGTTGATTTAGTTTTATCTTTCCTTGGAGTCACTTCAAGCTTTACCAGTTGTTTCATCTTCTCAAAGGGAGCTTTTTCAAATTGTAATGCTCATTAAACTTCTTTCCAGTCGTACCTTGTCTTTCTAAGTTGTAGTTTGTCCTTTCTTTGTGGTTCGGTTTTCCGTTTGATTTTATATGGCTTCCGACCGTCGTGAACTTCCAGAAAGCGATTCACCCTAGATTGAGGTACGTCGTAAGGTTTGGAGATAATTATCCTGCTTACGTGGTCAATTCTATTTCAGTAGTTGTTGTCAACTACGTTGTCGAGTTATCTCTATGAAAATGGTTTTTACTGATACAATTGTCGCAGATACTGTGATGAAATTTTCATTCATTTAAGTTATAAATCCCAATTTTTCCAAACATTCTATGACTGAAAGCCTCGGAATGGCCTTGCAATTCATTTAAGCATATTCTGTTCTTTTCCAACTCGTTTGCTTTTTAAGGTTTGCCATCGTTAGTTGCCACCCGTCCCTGTCTTGATGTCAACTCTTGTTTCGTGCTCGACGTGGTTTTCATTTGAAAGGGCATATTTAATGGGGCTCTGGTGAAGTTATAAAAACTTTTCATGGAGCGATCTTCTAATTAGTGCAGCTAGCATGAAATATGCTGTTTCTAAAGACCAATATACAGACCTCGTTTCAAGTAGTGGCTTTTTGAAATATCAGCTACTTCTCGAGAATTTGTTCACTTCCATGACCACATTTTCTCAAGGTTTAGAGCATGTGAAAACCGCGACTTCTTGATCCTAGATGTGGCAGAATTAAATTTATTACACGATTTATAAATTGAATCGATTTTGTAATGGCGAGGATGTGTTCAGAATATGCAATATTCTGCTTGAATCGAATAGAAAACTCATTTTTATGAGAATGCTAGTAGTTCGGTCTTTCCGTCATTGAATTTGGGTATTTGAAAATATATAGTCTTGAGTGTTATGTGAGTGAGGTGGGCCTGCCGATTCCTGAATAGAAGTTCCTTTTGGGGAAATGATATTGATCACCTATCTTGGAGTTCCATCTTTTTCTGAGGTTTAGCTTCAGTAAGAAAGTAGTTCGGAGTGGGTATGCATATCATTCAAGGTAAGTAAAATAGAATATCGGCGTGCTTACCCGACTCACATAGCACCTAGACATGATTACTGTTCAATCGATTTCACGCCGAGTTCATAAAAAAATTCTCACGAATTCAGGCGAAGTCGGAATTGAGCACAAGCTTTAGTTGACCAGCGCCAAGCTGAGATAACTTGCTGATAACACGTCCTCTGCTCTACTGATCAGCATGCAACCTCCGTTATCTTTGAAAATCCTTTACTTATGTATTTTCTTAACATTTTTTGTTTGTTCCTGTGTATGTGAGAACTATGACTATTTAGTTTGTCTCTAACCGGATTCACGTTCTGCTCCAACGGACAAGAGATTTTGAATCGGAATTTGTGGCGGTCTCAGAAGTGACCGCGAATTTTTGTAACGCGAGAGTTTCTCGTGAGAGCTGTTTTAGTAGTTAAGTTTAATGAAAATTTGAACGAACACATATATCGTTTTTCGATATTCTCCCTTTTCAAACTCTCTAGTCTTCCCACGAGCACCTCGAGAGCACTTTGTCGCATTGCGAGTTTCCATGATTAAGGAAGCACTAACTCTAGTTCAACCTTGTGATACAAAAAGCTTCAAGCACGTATGAGCTTCATTTTTTTTGACAACGAGTGCCTTCAAAAGAAAACGCGGAATGTTGAAAATTTGCCCTTTTTTGGAAGACACGTAAATCGATTATTGCCGTTTGCAAAGAGCAGGCGTTTTTACAACATACAAGGTTCTTCGATTGAGTTTTTTGTTCAACGGCATGTTTTGGTGGAACAGTTGGTGAACAAGAAATCGAATCTCTTTTCAATGCTATATTCGTGATTTCTCTTCCTTACGCTTTGAGCAATCTAGTGTTTTCTTGAGGTATACGGTGCGCTCCAGTCTTTGCCCCTCGCTTGAACATTCTAGTGCGTTTTAGGTTGAAGTTTAGCAGTGGTCTGGTAGTCCTGTGAATAGCAGCAATTCAAAAAATTTGAGGCAGATGTGAGCAAGTAAGTAAAAGAATTGCGCTGCCTCATATAATCGTGGTCAGCATATTCTAACTGGCGTCTGAAATTGAGCCGGATTAATTGGCCTTTCTGCTAATCATCGAATTGTCTGCAGACCACTCATTTTGATTACGTAAGCGCTTCATTTTGAGTTCGTATTTGTAGCGTATCTACGCAAGGCTTAATATAAGCTTGCCTTAGGTGACGTATTCGGATTACCACTTAATCTGAGCTATATTTGATTTGTAGCGTAGGTTGAGTTAATGAATTGGGTATGAATTGATCTGATTGCAAGTCACATAGTCTAGTTTATGCGCAGAGGGTTACCTTCAGCATAGCCAAAAATCAAGGACAGCGCCTGCCGCAGACTTGTTTCTTCATCACTTTGAGAAGGCCACTCAAAGTCCTCTCCACTTCATTGAACGGCACTATCGCAATGTTTCATTCGAAAATTTTTTATGTCTACGCGTTGTTTTCGGAACTTCCACGTTGAACCTTTCCATGTTATATTTTGCGTCATTGATAATCACCTGATGGCACGTGTTCTCCTGCGCAAGTTTCGGGGCCACCTGACCCCAGGAGTTGTCTGCATCGTTGCATCACGTCATTGTTTCATTTGATGCCAACTAAATTCTCATGAAACGAATGTTCCAATGTCGTCGGCGTCGTTGCTTCTTTGCGGTGCCTAAATTAGTATATTTCAGACCTTCGCATAGAGTGATACGTTGCGGACCACGTTCTGACCATTTTACTAAACTTGAAGGTATTCCGCTGATGTTGTTTGCGTGAATGGGCTGATAATCTTTTTTCTGTCTATCCGCCTATTGCATGACGTTTCCTTCCATCTTGTCCGTGTCGGCGTTCTTTTTTTTCATTTCGCCTTTTTTTCCCTTACCTGCACATATATAACAGTCGTTCAAACAAGCATGCGTTGGGCAGTTAAAGGTTCGCCACACTTGATTGCAAACATGTCCCTTCAATTATCATATATGCAAATAATTTGGCCTAAAATGTTGTCTTGTTAGGGAAGGAACTCTGCTAGTTTGTTGTTCAGCAAGGAGAGTCCTGTTTCAAAGAAGGGTACTTCATGTAGCGCTTATATTGTTTATATAATCCCGTACTGGTCTTTTAATTCTGGCTTTCACTGGTCCAATGGAAATACTAGTTCTTGGGACAACAAGGCAACTAAATCGCAATGGTTAATTGTATTCCTGAGAGCGATCAAAACAGTGTATGTATAACATTTAGAAATTTCCGTCATTAACTAAGGTGATTTTGAGGAAAGCGAATGTCGACCTTCTGTCAAACAGAAGTGAACGACTTGGCCCAACGAAGCGTAATATCATTTTCTCCACCGAGACTCTGTTTCGGATTCTCATGATATGGAACCAGATCTTCAGTCTTGTCTCGCCTTCAGCGACAGCTGCTTTTTGCAGATGGTGGAACTACAGGGTGGGCCAAAATTCTGGTAACCGCGAATGCGCACGGTCGAACACGCTTTTTTCCTGAACTTCTCTACATTCATCTTCCTTTTGGGTACAACAATGTTTTCTTCTCATCGTAATCAATTATGATACAGTTCTTGAATTTTTCGAAATTGACACATCACAGCATGCCAGACCGAAATTGAACCGGTAAGGGCCCTAGCACGCTCCATCTACCGACAATCCAATGTAACAAAGAAGCAAATAACGGTAGAACGCTTCAACATTTTAGGAACAGTTTCAGCCTACGATCGAAAAGAATTAAATGGAAGCTCACAGGTACCGCTGCCGCCACAGCAAATATTAAATACAGAAACTCATTCTTCTTTTGTAACTTTCGTCCTGCAAAATTGAAAAATTGATGTATAACACCCCTTGGGCGCTCTTAAAATCTGTATGTTATGAACGAGAAGCACTTCGAGTGCATTACTTTCGATGTTCCTACAGGATAAGGCACACAGTCATAAGGCAAAAATCCTGCAAGGAGTGATTTTTCGAAGTCATTCTCTCTGAACAACTGTTATTTGGGAATCCTCTACCTTCAAAACAAAAAAAAATTTAAAAGGATTTTCGTCCCCCAGCCATTCGGGAAAGCATACCTTACGACCACTGGATCAATTGATAGGTCTTCGTCAAAGCTTATTTTTTGGGGAATACTTGGAATCTGTTTTTTGATCTCTCACGAAGATTTATCTCCCCTCCCCTGACCCTTGTTCTCAGTAATATTTACGGTGTTCGCGAGGGCTACGACTATTAGAGGCAGCTGTAGGTTGGGCCGAGTTAGGGTCGCACTGCAGATACATGGAGGGGACGGAGGATGGGTCTTATTTAATGCCAAATTTCCTTGATGATGGTTAACCCACGTACCCCCAATTTGAAACTACTTGTAGCTTGCAGATGTTAGGCCTTTCTCACAATGAAGAACTCATTGTTCTGCATTTTGGCGCTTTTCTTCTAAAGGTAACCTGTTCAGAAGTGCTAGTTATCAAGTTATTGATGAGTTTATGCTACAGTTTCAAGAGTCAGCTCTAGAATATGCTGTGGGAAAAGTCGCATGAAGGAATCACAATGTTAGCATTACTTTACAACTACGTGAATGGAAAAACATTAGCGGCGATTACGTGGCTTACTTTCAAGAGTTCCATTATGCATATGTATGCTATCTCTTGAGGATTGTTCCCCCAACGCATGCTTGCCACCTGCCGTCCATCCCACCCCACTCACATAGCACCTACTTCTGTTCGTACGACTCTTATTCACATAGGACTGTACGCTTTGCGGCTGCTTTCCTTTCTCAGCACCGCCACTTTCTGTATGTTTGTCGTTCGTTTTTGTGTTCCGTCTATTCGATATTTTTCCGTTTAGCGTATATGCGTAAACTAAGCACCGTATTTCCTTCTGTCTAGCTGTAAATGCGCACCGTTGCTTATATTCTAGGACGAGATGTTACGGTAAAGAAAGAAACAGAGAGGCACACACACACATACATTCAGCGATAGCAATGTTGCTTCTTCGTATGGAAAAACGCGATAGTACGCGTGATTCGTCCGATCGCGATAGGTACACTGAACGAAATTGGTGGAGACGTTTTTGCCCGTAGTTTTTGCATCGCCTTTCTCGTCGCCGTCGCATATTCTTGAGCTTGAATGCGTGAGGTTGTATAGTAACAGCAGGTGCCATCTGAGTGCAACAGCAGCAGTGTTTGTGTGTACTGATACACTTCCTGCAGAGTATGATTCAGGTGCATGTGCTCTAATGCTTCTTGCTTTTGTCAGGTGGTATTTAGAAAGTGGTACCGCTCAAGAAATCTATAGAGTTCCGGCTGTTGCCTGTCAGATGGTGAAACCTAAAAAGCGGCTAAGATTAGCTGTAACCATTATCGATTCGATGACCTAAGGAATTTTATTCAACCATTTGGCTTTTACTTCCCTATATGTGCATATTCATTTTTCAAGCAGAATATTTTTCACCGTTTCATTTTGTCTTCGATATAACGCGAATGCTGTGTTTCTCCAAAGTAAAGTGACACCCCAGACATCGTAAAGCTTATCGTTATAGCTTTCCATGATTTTTATTTTCTTTTACACATTGTCATCGCGCTTCTCTCCCTCCCGCTCAGCTCCGATGAATGAGCATCGTCGGCAAAGTTTTATATTTACATGATTCATCAAAATGGTCCCTCCAGTAACATCCCTTTCTAATTTCTGGAACTGAAACTTCGGATATATTGAAATCACTTGAATGGAGAAGGAAGAGATTTGATCTTTCAATGGCGTACAAAATTCTTAATGGTGTAACCACCCTGGATGCCTCTAAATTTTTCACTGTCGTTCATTCTAATACCAGAGGATCCTTGGCGAAGATCTCAACCTCTCTTAGTCGATCCCAGGTCAGGTCACAATTTTTCAGCAATAGGGTTCGCACTAGTTTTAACCTGTTATTACGTCGCAACCTCATTCCATATAAATACTCTGTTTTTAAAAGATCTATTCACAAATTTATCTGATTCTTTTGACTTATTCGTTTCAAGGTTGTTTGTGCGTTTGATTACTGCATGTTCAGTTGTTTACATGCTACTTGCATGTCCGTTAATAATAAATAAATAATATCTATAAAGAGCAGCTTTTGCTAAATTTACATATTTTCAAGCAGCTTGAAGAAGTCATTATTCTTTATACGGAAATCGACCCTGTCTCCTTTGTTTCTTCCCCCTTCTGTTCTTCTTGAATTGGAGTCCTAGTTCAAAAGGATGCTTTTATAAGTCTTTCTCATAGCATACAAGTAATTCGTGTTACAGCATTGTTGAAAAGATTGGATCAGGAAGGGTTAAGCTGTAGAAGTGGGAGGTCGTTCGAGAGAAATGACAAGTTATAGCTTCCCACTCACCCCCACCTCGGCATCTCCAACTCTCGCAGCTAGGAATGATGGATCGATCAGCAGTGGATACAAGAATTCGTAAACCGGGAGGCAAAGAAAGTTCTATCAATATCTGGGCTTTGTACGCAGAGAGCCATATGTCCCCATAAAAGTTTTTCTCCGTAAGAGTTAAGGCTGAGTTGAGCAGTGAGTTCCCGAAATAAGAGCGAATTTTTCGTCATAAGGAAACGCGTGTTCTCTATGAGCAGTCGTTGTTGGAAAGGTAGCTACGTTTGGACGAGCAGAAAGTGTAGGCAATAAGCAGTTATGGCGGAAACTTGTTAGTTGCAATATCGATCGTATCGCAAACTCCAGCTTCTTCAAGGGTCATTTAAAACTAAGAAGCCTAAACACATTTATTGGCGTCAGAAGGGCTGATTCAAAGATCTTCTCAGTAAGGCCATTATCGATTGGGGGATGCAAGCTTAACGTTGTTAGAAAGGCACCACGGTGAGAGTATTGATTGAAAATTAGAAGTTTATCGGGTAGCGCATTTTATCCGCTCGTCATCACCCACAGCAGGGGTACATGATGCGGTGTTTAGCGGTTTCTGTCTCGTCATCGCCGTCCATAATCGCATCAGTCATCTGCGACGTTTTCCGCAACGCGGAGGTATACACATACTGAGCCCATATAATATCACCAAGTGATAACGTAAGGTTTCTCTGCGATAACACGCCACCAGGCGTTCTTTTTGCTTTAATCCGTGAATTCTGTTGTTGTTATGAGTATACATTCTTTTTGAATCAACTTTTGCTTCGCATTTAACATTGCTGGAGTTTAGAGCTTCACTGAAACACGGTTTGCTAGTAATGAGGGAGGTCAATGGATGGCCACTTTACTGCTGACCTAGTACTTTTTTACGCTTCTTTGGATGCATGTAGAACATTGCCTATGTCGGTCCGAATTTGTTTCTGTCGCTCTGAAGCTTTGACTGTTGTGTTGATTGTAGTATTGGTCATGAAGTCCCCGTGATATTGAGGTTGATTTTGATAGACGAGTTGATCAAAGCTGGACATACGCCCCACTATTTATGCATCTATTTCACCTTTCGACTGCTGCATTCAAAAAAAGGAGGAATTTTGTCTTCAAGTGCCAATTCAAAATTGCGAGTGGAATAAGTGGTTTCGGTAGTTTTTGTTTTCTGATGCCAGAGTCTCTCTGTCAGAGCAAGGTTTTGGATATGAGGATGCTCTGTTTCCTTGCAGTTTGCAGCATGGATGCATAAAAATGTTACGGCAAGGGAGTTTACGATAACCAATGAAACGGGACGTCTTCAGAGTTTCCGGCTAATCACTTTTTTGAGCAGTCTTCTTTTTTTTTTGAAAGGTAATTATTAGGGTGTGGTTTCGTATCTAAAAGATGCTTTGTCGACGTGGTTGTACTCCACTCTTACCATCCACTTTTTTTTTTGATTGTGAACACGGTTTGGCAGTGTTTGTTTTCCTATGAAAATTTGAAACGTTGTACTCACTTTCAAGTATGTATAGCTGCCAGCATTGAAATTAGAAATTATTTTTTCGCACTGGTAGCTTTTTCGGATGACATTCTAACACTCAAAAAAAAATCATAAAAAAGTAGCTATTGTGTAGGAAGGTAGTTTTTGGCTAACTATTCGGTGCAAATAGAAAAGTTCAAATCGACTTGTGACTTCTAATGAACAAGCGAGCCGCTTCGATCAACTTCGATCTTACAAAACCACTCTTATAACGTTGTACGCAGCTCATTTGTCCCGCTTTTAATTTGATTGTTAAGAAATAAATGTTACTGACTTCAGACGAGCGACAAGCAGTGGAGTTAGGCCACGCCAGGCACTGCTTTCTGGCCTCTCACACTGGGCTCCCGCCGCGATGACAAATCGGGCTCCTGGATCGGCCTCCGCTTCGGCGAGTACGACCAACTCGCAAGGTGTTCTCATGGTTGGACCCAATTTTAAGGTTGGTTTGCACTTGCGTTCTCAAACAACCTTTTTTTGTTGTTTTTTTTTTCGTTCGTTTGCTCATAATATTTCATTGTAGAGATATTTCCAAGTGGAAGTCTAACACATATTTTAAGGTTGGCAAGAAGATCGGCTGCGGAAACTTCGGAGAGCTGCGTCTCGGGAAGAATCTTTATAACAACGAACATGTAGCGATCAAATTGGAACCGATGAAGAGTAAAGCTCCCCAACTCCATTTGGAGTACAGATTCTATAAGCTTCTTGGGCAGTCAGGTGAGTGCAAGGTTGAATTCCCCTATACATATATTACCTTAAATACCACTTTTGCTTCCCCTATGTTATTACGGTTGTGATTTTGAATATTTTAAGAAGGCTTACCACAAGTGCATTACTTTGGACCATGTGGTAAATACAACGCGTTGGTCATGGAGTTGCTTGGACATTCGCTGGAGGATCTGTTTGATCTTTGTGACAGACATTTCTCGTTGAAAACGGTCGCAATGGTCGCCATGCAACTGGTGAGATTTTAGCAGTATTCGACTGCGTCAAAGAAATATATGATGTTGTTCAAATCCTAGCGCGTTAATTAGCAATTACCTTTTTTTTATAACAAGAGCTTCAAAATGTTACTTTGATTTTTCAATTGAATGGCTTTTGTAAATGAACGTCATCAGAATAGCCTAGCGTTAATAAACTGGTGAGACTGACTAGCTGACTTCGGCCGAGCACTCAATTCTTTCCTTGTTTGTTCTATGAGGATACAGTTTTTGAATAGTTTTTTTTTCGACTGGATATACACTAAAAAAGAGCAATTTCAGTAGTTTTAGTTTTTTTTTCTTCATACGCTTTATTCAGTTCATTTGTTAAATAGTCCATATATTGACCGTTGCTCTCTGCTCCGATTTTAGTTTTGGAAAACCATTGCATTAACTGGTTTTCACGGCTTCTCCCTTATTTTTTTATAATCTCAAAGTGGTTCGAGTGTGTTTCAGTAGTTGGTATTATAATTCCTAATTGGTTGCCTCATACTACCGAACTGTAACAGCTTGAGCATATTCCTTAAAGTAAACAGGAGGCTGAGCGCTGTTAGCAACCGCTTCGAACATTGGATTTCTTTCTGTTTGCGAAACTTGTTCATTGGATTCTCGAATTGATGCCTAATTTTTTTTTCGCTGACTGCTGACAGCAAAGGCTAGCATGCTGCCACAGTATCGATTTTCGTCTACGGTTTGTGAGCGAACTTGAGGGGTTCCGGGCGAGTCTCCTCATACGAATTCTGCGGGATTTTGAAGCGCAGACTTTCTCCAAAGCAGGAGGTGAAAAGCAAGTGGATCGGTTCCTAGGGGTTTATCGTAAGGGAATACTGAAGAGGGGATTCCGATCCGACTGGCCGAACTCTCCATCAACTGCCCTCTTGATCGATGTACCAACATCAACTTGTGACTCTCCTTGTCATTATCTACATGACTGGCCACTCGGTCGGAAAAAATTAACTCATACAGTCCGTACAGCTTATTCCACAATTTTTTAGGAAGCTAATCTCATCTTTCATCCATTCACCTTTAGAAGCTTGTACTTTTCAGTTCTCATCTTATTATAATCTTGAAAGAATTATGAGGGGCATTCAACTCACTTACTTCGATTCTAGTTTTGTCATTTATAGTGATTTGAAAGGAATTAGAAATAACGAAATATGTGTGACATGGTCGCCTCGCTGATCACCGCAATATAAGGCGGGCGCCACTCTTCCTATTGCGACTCGGAGTACGGGGGGTGGGGGGAGGGTCCTCCCCAAAAGACGAAAAAAGAATTTTTGGTGCAGATTCTTCATTTAGAAGTCTGGTCGGCAGTCCCCCTGATGTTCGTTCGGCTCCCCTAGGGACTTAGTCAATAACCGCCTGGTCCAACGGTCATCGCAAAATCGCATGACGTGTCCGGCCCACCTTATCTTCGATTCCTTGGCGAAAACGGCAGCGTCCCTGATCTTCGATCGTTGGCGTAGTTTGATACTATGGATTCCCTTCTGGACGCGTGTGTATGAGGAAACCCTAGGCATCGTTCTCTCCACGGCATTAACGTGGACTCAGTGCTAACCTTGCCCCACCTTGTTCTAATTCATATCGTATCCCTATCGTAAAACCCATATCCATGTCGTAAAATGCGACATATAATATTTCTGTTGAATTAGTCGACATTTCATTCGTTTCAGATCCGGCGGATAGAATACGTGCACGCGAAGCATTTGATCTATAGGGATGTGAAACCGGAAAACTTTCTCATAGGACGATATTCAACCAGAAAACAACATGTGCTTCATATAATTGACTTTGGTCTTGCAAAGGAATACATTGACTGTGATACCGGTACGTTGATAATTTTCATGATTCATTCTGCTCCTTAAAGTTCTTCTTCGTTTTCTTTTTTTACAACAACACTTCGATTCAAATAGTCCGGTGTTTTTTTTTTCGAAAAATTTCGATGTATAGTGAATGACTCCTCGATTTTACGGCCATATTCTTTTTCAAGAAGTAAAGCGATAGATTCTACTGTTAAGGGTTGCTCTATCCATTGTCAAAATGTAGCTGTGCTGTAGCACACATGAGAAGTTTTGAGTTCCATTCTGCCTTCGAGGAATTTTATGGCATCATTTTTGTGAGAGTATTAAAGATGTGAGCCACACACTGCAAGGTGATGCCCTTGGCCAGTTTGGGTTTGAAGCAAAGGATTTTGGGTTGAGAACTTGTTCAAGCTTGTTTAGTCCTGACGCTGCAGTTTCAGTACCCTTGGGTGTGTTCCACTACACGAGGCCATCTCTAACCACGACTATCCCTCTTGACTAATCTGTTGTGTTTTGACGAACTTGTATTAATTGCTGCAACGCTGATTAATTATTGTGACGTTATTAGCTTTTTATTTGAAGTTCTACTCGAGATTCGATTAGGCTCTAAATTGCAACTTCCATTCTCGAAATCGATAGCGTAAACCTGGTTTTGTGTAAAACAGAAACTGGGTTACTTCTTGTTTCGCACATTTCGCCGTAAACAGATCAATCCCAAGCCTTGCAAAATAGATCGATCTCGTGGACAGTGGTGCGCAGTATCGATATAATGACTAACTTTTGTGAGGGCTCATTACTCACTAGAAGGCATGGTTAATGTGATTATAATATTCGAAATCGGCAAGATGTGAGGGTTCGATAAACTTCTGACAGATTTCTGCTCGTCTTCGAGGTCATAGTTATGAGAATTTAGAAAGCTCTAACTCTTGAGGTTTTTGCTTTTTTTGCAGTGCTGGCAATTATTACAGCATTGGAAGCTCTCTTCAACACAGCGTATTGATTTTACCGTCAGTTTTATAGGAAAACACATCCCGTACCGAGAACACAAGTCCTTAACTGGTACAGCACGGTACATGTCCATCAATACGCATCTCGGCAAGGAACAGTCACGGCGAGATGACTTAGAAGCCCTTGGACATATGTTCATGTACTTTCTCAGGGGTAGTCTGCCTTGGCAAGGGCTGAAGGTAAGTAAGACCTCACCTATTCACGATTTTTCCACCCTGTCAAATAGTTTTATTGTTGTTCAAGTGTTTCTTTTTTTGCATGATATTTTTTCTTATTAAGGCAGACACGTTAAAAGAGAGGTATCAAAAAATTGGAGATACAAAACGGCAAACAGCTGTTGAGGTTTTATGTGAAGGATTCCCAGGTATGTGGTAGCTCTAACCAACTCGTGGTATACTTGCTCATTTTCAATCTTCAGAGGAATTCGCTCAGTATCTCCGTTACTCACGACGACTCGATTTTTTCGAAACACCAGATTACGATTACTGTTATAATTTATTTAAAGCTGTTCTTGATCGATTAGGAGCCAGTTATGATTATGAGTTTGATTGGACGCCGAAGCTCAACAATGTGGTTAGCGTCGTTTTTATTTGCTTATCATTTGCTCATTCAGTGGTCACACATGATCGGATTGGAAGAGCATATATTGTTTCTTTTCGTAATATTTCCGAGATAGTTTCAAGTCTCGATTTTGATGTTTCAGTCAACCCCTTCCGGTTCATTGCATACCGCTGAAACGAAGGAAAGCAAAAGAGGTTAGTTTTGCTATTTTCGAATACTTTAAATACACACAAGCACTATTTTTTATCTGCGTCCTCTCTCTCTCGTCATTTTGCGATTCATACTTCCATTTACAAAACTTATGTACACATTCATAACAAGCAAGTAGCACCTCTCCCATAACTTCATTTATACTTGGTCATCTGAAGTTTTATGGGGTTTTGTAACGTTTAACTTCGACTTTTTTCTCTTCCAAATACCGTTTTCGCTACAACTTTTGTCGCATGTGACTTTTTTGCGAGCTTTTTGAAGAAACCTGTTAAAGCTTTTTCTCCGACTAATTAAAACCAGTAAACAAGGAGAAGATATAATAGTGTTATCATGAGCGCACTCTCAATTTCCTCTTGTACGTTTGAGCTTGAAGCCCGAGAGTCGCGATCATCGTCTCTTGTGCATTGGGTGCTACCGATTTTCAGCGAAGGCTAGCCTGAGGTTTAATCGGAATGTCATCGTTATTTTACTCGGTTTACGTTGATCTATTCAGTCCAACACATCGCATTTCAGAGCGGGCAGATGCTCTCAAACCCAATCATGCATCTACTCATCCATTTGGATCAACACAGGTAATCGTCGTCACAGCTTTCCGATAGAAATAGAAATCTTTGAAGCTTTTTTAAAAGCCGTGTCATTTTTGAGAGTTTTTTAGCGCCAGCAAAAGATCAGATCCGTCGAACCCCAAGTTTGCAAATCATAGTCCAAATTAGAAGACAAGAGTGATGTGTAGGTGCTGTGACTCAATAATTGTGTGCGACACCTTCTCAGGCTGCTTTCAGTTGAACCTCGAGCGTCCTTGTCTGTCCTATTTGAATCGGCTCATGCGGGGTGGCGCATTCTAAAGTTGCGTATTTTTTGAACTAAAGCAGGAAGCCTCTTGTCCCAACAATTTTTATCGGCTGCCTTTCATTGCATTTCTTTGTTCTTTTTGTTCATGTGTTCTTTTTGAGTTGGCCCATAAATGCGAACATGTTGGCCAAGTGCTGTCCAAGCGGATGGTCTAGTATTTGATTCGCCCAAGAAAGTATGAACAAAATTTGACCGCCGAGTGTTTTTGGGATGTGTACAGTGTCACAATGGCAGTGGACAACGCTGCGAGAAAGCCAGTTCATTGAGCCCGCGCGCTGAGGTGAGGGAACAAACTCGGAGACGAGAGAGAATAGTTGAGCGAGAATCCCAATACAGGGGTGTGCATGATGCGTGGGGAGTACGTTGGTCCAACTCGTTAGTCCCCGGAGTTTTCCTCGTGCATTTAGAGTCCAGGAACGCATCGTTTTGGTTAGGGACAACTACCCCATTCACGAGGTGCATTGCTTCTGTAGAAGTATTGCTGAATATGCCCCTTACGAATGACCTGATCGAATTTCAATCCCCATTTGCACTTAGTTCTCATGAAAAGGCAAATAGATGAGTAACTTGGATGCACCACCCTGTTTGGCTAAAACTAGCACATTTAGTGATGAGATGTTCTTGTTACAGGTAATAAACTCAAATACTGGTGAAGTGGGCGATGATGCGGCAGCAGGACGAGGTGGAGATATGCATCGACAAGACGAACAATCAGGAGAGGTGAAATGCTGTTGTTTCCGTCGACGCAGAAGAAAGCAGCCGACGTCAGGGCAGTTAGCACAAAAGTAGCATCGCCGTCATGTACTACGGTAGGAGCATGGAGACATCGTTGTTTCGTGCGTTGCGTTGCGTCACGATGATCTCTTGGGTCTTCTTCTGCTTTCTCTCCCTCTATATTTGTTATATTCGTATTTCTATTCTATTCTGTGACTATTGTCCATACAAGCTCACTTCGAACCTCGTCGTCGTCGCGGTTCCACACCCCAACACACTTTCTTCCTCTCATGTTTATGTGACTTGATTGTATGTTTTCGATTTATAATTATTAATTTTCATTGTTGCTCCGTGCGTGTCAGACCACCTGTTGTACATACGGAGACGTGCGTGTATTTGTGATTGCTCCTTTTAATATATTCTATCCCCTAAATTGTCGAATTTAGGTCTTCAGTACTTAACGATAACTTTCTCGACTCCCTCTCTCTCGACCGTAATCTTAGCACGTTTCTTGTTTTACTTCTTAATTTAATTATGTTACATTATTATCCATGTTGCCTGAAATATTCAAAGTTCTTTACTACACATTTTTTTCAAATTGGGTTACGAAAGATCGCGCTCTATACGAGTGTTTCTTCTGTTCCTTACACATACATGCAGATAGTCCACATCTCCCTCCAGTTTTTGTTAGTCGTCTTTGTGGCCACCGGAACAAGGCGCGTGCGGTCGCAGCGCGGTCATACGTGATTTATTCCAACTGCCAAATACATAATTTAGTGGGAAATGTGGACTGTACATATATTTTCTGACAAACACTCGATTAAATTAACTTTTATTACCATAGGTTGTGTTTTTATTCCAAAATCTGTACCCCCATTATTACCGCGCGTGTTCCTTCTTTCGCCTTATTCTGTCTCTAGCTTTGAGTTGACATTTTTCTTTTCTTGCGGAACTTTTCTCTGTCCCTCTCCCTCTATCGCTGTCTCGCTCGACTTCATTGTTTTACATACCCACATACATCAGATGTGCAAGCGCGCTCACTCTCACTGTCCAGCAGCAGCGGTTGGCGCATTGACCGTTTTAACTGCGAAGCTATCAAGAACCACATCCCTGTTGTACGTTTCCTTCTCGTTTTTAGTATGTTGTTCTGATTTTTCGCGATCTAGCTTCGGTTATAACATACATGCTAAGAATATCTACCCTTGCTCCTTTGAGCGCAAATGTGATTTCTGTTTTCCCTTATTTAAGTGGAATAATGCGTTTGTATATTGAGATTAGTTCATCGCATTTTTTGTTTTCTTTTTTTATACAGAGATGGGCAATAAAGTATTGAATGAATATGGTGTGTTGCTAAGAAACTGCTGGGTTGTGTGCTCGATGAAAGTACATTTCCGTAAAAGTCGAATAGATAGAGACACTGACGAGGGATTTAGATGGCGTTCCACACGCCGGTAAAGGCGTTGAATCCGGTCGACACTAAGCTACCTGATCATGTTGTCAAGGTAGGTTCCAGAGACTTTCGAACTTTCCGACTGGTTTTTCCTAATTTTTTTTTCTTCCGGTGTGTCACTTTTCCATCAGAAATAGAAACGATTTTGATGTTTTAAGACGACGATGTTGCTGCATTGACGCTACAGGTGTACGGCAACTAGGCGATTTACTATCTGAATGCATGTGCCGTGAGCGCGGCCTCCTTACAACCCCACTTTCGCGGCGCTGCTGCAACGTGAAGCCTCTGCGCAATTCAAAATTTGTGATCACCGACTATGCTCGCGGCGAGTTCTTAACTGTTTTGGTGCTGGCTTCACCTACATGGACCATAATTACGTGGCTTTTTCACATCCTCTTGTTGCCATCGTTCCATGTATGGCACTACTCCAATTGCTCCCTTCTGTTTCTTTTCAAACCGCATTCGACGAGGGACAATGGTTTTCGCTTTTAAGTCTTGATCCACTCTATTTCGACTTTCTTTCCTAGAAATTCAGCTATGCCCTGTTGTGACCCTAGCACGTTTCTTTTACACATTAATCTGCACACGTAAAATGAAGATGTATGTATATGCACAATACTGCAGAACTGCCTTGTGCACATTGTACCATATTCAAGCAGAATTGTGACGGTTCTTCCAAGCTCTTTGATGGTTTTCGTACCTGTTTAGTAAAAATAGTTTCTGCGCAACTAAATGCTGTGTAGAGTGTTATACGAAACGGGCAAGACTGCGAAATGTAGCGGTGCTCCGTATTTATTCATTTTCATTCGATTTCGTATCTTTGGCTACACCAAGAAATCACCGCACACGCATTATTGTTGTATTCATTTTCTTTGGCTACGTGCAGGTTTATCGGTTTCGGGTGTTTTGAATTCCTAGTCCAGCTCATGCGATAATTTCATTGAGTTCTGCGATGAAAGCGCTCTAGAACTGGTCGTGAAACGAGAGTTTTTGAGCTTTCGAGTATGATTAGGTTTTCTTGATACTTGGCAAATGACTCGATGTGGCGCACGGTTTTGTGTTCTCAAGCTGTGAACTTGAAGCATGTTTGCGAAAGTTCACAGCAACGTCAAACTGCTACAGGATGTTTTCCAGGAAGTCCAAGTGTGCTGGGGATAAGTGGATCTAGCGCAAAGTGGTTGACGATTAGGTTATGGGTGAAAATCTAGCTCGCAATTATAGTTTGACTGTTCGTCAGTTTGCAAAGCTCAGGAAAAACGCCTCATGGTAGGGTGGCTCCAAAGTGATCAAAGTGAGTTTGCATAGTTCATAGGATGGGGAGTATCCCGTCGTGATCAGAGATTAAAAGTACTTGTCGAAAAATTCTCTCGTGCATTATGCTTTCTCGCTCAAAAAGTAGCTTTAAGGATCAACACAGAGTTCAGGTGAATGTATTCTCTTGGTGATTAGAACAGAGCTGTTCACAGAAGTCGCAGATGTCCCGTTCTTCCGGCTGAAAAGTGCACAGTAAAGGCGCAGGGGCCATGCAAAGACCGCTTTCACCGCTTCCACATCATGCTGATGCCAGGCGCTCTCTTATACCTTGTCTTTCTTGCTTATACTCCCTTCCATGTTCTGTTTCCATTGCGGTTGCTCAAAAGTGAGCAAACTTTTAATTCAATCGACAATTTTTTCCCAACTCTAGCCTATTTTGCTACGATGCTCTCATATCTGTGTGCAGAACCAAACCAGTCCTGAGGGGGCCTTTTGATTTTGAAGTGGTACTGACTATCTTTTGTTAAATTCTTTAGCCCTTAGGGTCAAAGAGAATTAAAAATAATGAAACAAAAAGGTTTTTGAATCCTGAAAATTTATGAAAAGGTTAGTCTGAGTTTATTTATTTGATATTAATAGCGCATGGGTGCATAACAAATGAATAACTTGATGGCAGAAATATGCAAGGAAAAGAGCTTTTGGTCTATTTATATAGAATCCTGTTATCCACACTTTGTCCCCTCTTTTCGGTAATGTTGAAATGAACAGATATTTTTGTCTGCAACGGGTTAGTTTTCGTAATTGAATGTTGCCGTTTTCGCTGCCGCCAATTTCTCATGTTGATTTTCTTCCCGACAGGGGAACGATTTGAGTTTTTCGCCTTGTAGGATTCGTAGCTTTTCAAATTTATTTTACAAAGTTCTCATATCATCTCTCTTGAAGTTGTCAATGTGGTAGCATTTTAGGGCGCTGTGATTGTTGATGATAAAATCCATAAGTGGAATCCAAGTGTTACACTCGAAGCTAATGGGCCTATGTCAGCTTTCATAGTTATAGACAAGAAGGTATGTTTCCTGCATGCAAGCAAGCACCGTTCCTAAAAAATACCCATACTTTGCCTCCAGTGAAATATTAGAGCTAAAGGTATCGGTTTTTTCTTCAGTTTTTGTAGATATTGATTGTGGGGTTTCGCGAAGTACTTTTGTGATGTTCACATCCACAGTTGTAGGTCGTCTCTGCCGTTTTTCTTGAATAATTATCAATTCAAAGCTGAGTGCGGGTTGTGGAATAGGCTCTAAATGGAAATTGCAGTCAGGAGACGTCAATGAGGTCATAAGACGTGTTGTGGTCGACTTGAAATTACCTCCCAGTGAAGAGTATGGGCTCATTTTCGAGGAACCGAAAGCTTTTCTCACACCTTCTAATCTGAGTCGAGTGAGCCATGGATTTATGCTCACTGTGACCGCAGCACCTGTGAGTTTGTAAATGATTTTTAACCCTATTTTACATCAATCTACCGTTAAGTCGCTATTTCTCAGTTTTTCTCTACTTGCAAATTTCGGCATGATTTATGAAGCTGAGTAATGACCAATTATTTACTAAGCATAGAAGTAAAAGTCAGATAAGTAAGTGAGGAAGGGATTTGAAACGTGAGGCAACGGTACTGGTGTTTTCGAAATAAATCACCGGGGAACCGTGGCATTCCAATGACTTTTTAAAAAAAATAATAAAAAGGATAAATAAAGCATTTGCCGTTGATCAATCCCTTTTTGGGATGCGGCACGCATTCTACTTCCATTTGTACATTCGTAGTGGCGTTTGAATGCGATGTGGCCTATACAATGACTTGCGGGGGCCAGCCGATGTACAAGTCAGTGTTTTTATCCTCCCAGACAAGTCTGGTACCAATTAACCGACCCCGGAGGGATGGAAGGCTTGGTTGGCCCGGGCGACTCACGACCCAGGATTTGATCCCCGGACCGCTCGCGTGGTAAGCGTGCCACTTGCCACTACACCACTTCCGCCTAAAAAATGATAAGTTAAAGGATAAAGCAGTGAACGTTAATAACTTCCTTTTTGGAATGCGCCATCATTCCATTCCATTCTGAATCCGGCATCTGAATGCGGTTTTTCCTATACAATGGGTTGCGGGGGCCAGCCGATGTACAAGTCAGTGTTTTTATCCTCCCAGACAAGTCTGGTACCAATTAACCGACCCTCGGAGGGATGGAAGGCTTGGTTGGACCTGGAGGGCCCACGATCCAAGATGTGATCACCGAAAGGTGCCCGTGGTAAGGAGGACTATTTCTTCCCAGACCATTTTCACCCTGAAAGTTCGATGTTCAAGAATATTTTGGTTATAGAGAAAATATTATGATATTGCATTGGAAGAGGATGAGAATTTTGAGGGAAAGTAACTCACCGTGGTTTCAAGTGTGCTTATTAATTATGATCAGTTATTTTTTTATGAATTTACGCAATTTACACTTCAGAGTCACTACGTAGGGAGAATTCATGCTGCTCTTCTAAATCGGAATGAAAACTTTGATGGTATTGAATGCGTTCTGCGTTCACTGGAATCCTTTTCGTCGGTATGAAATTTCTCGTGCGATGATAGTTTCTCAAATCTAACTTAATTTTGTGCCGTGTTTATTCGGACGTCCGGTTTCTTTTGTCACACCTTAATTACTTTTAACCAATGCTCAAGCCGCTCGTTTTTATTCCATGTATTTTTTACTATTTTCTGCTTCTTAACTATTTCTTCTGTGATCGCTGCCAATGATGTACTAATCCATACTTTGAGAGGGAGAGGGAGCGAAAGGCAAAACCTGGAGTTTATTTTTCGTTCAGCTTGGCCCATTCTTCTCTTGCTTTCATGAGATGAAGATGTGCCTTTCTTTCCCACTGTGTCAAGGCCAGTATAGGGTGGGTCGAAATTATGGTAACCAAGGCATTACTACACTACGACATCACGAACAGCGAATATTATCCTAACGAAAGAAATAACTCTAAGAAAGTGTTTTCACTCCTAGAGCAAGCAAAACTAGCTTCGGATTGAAATCTATCACCTATTGTACACTCAAAGGCCTTCAGATGAAGAGAGAAGGCGTGCACAGTGGCGTGCAGGTAAGTCGCATAAGAATGAGTCCAAGTTTTGTGTTGTGCCCTCTTCAGTGAACCAGACTTTTTGGAATTTTAGCCTGAAGGCTTACCATGCAGAAAATGAGGTGAATTTGGGGGGGGGGGATATTTGTATGTAGTGACAGATGTTACAAGACCATGAACACGAAACATCTATTGCAGAATTTTGCCTTCGGACTAGGTGTCTTGCTTTAAGGAAGCGCCCGAAATATTGTACTTTAAAGGGTTGTTGCTCATGGGAGACTTGGATCTTAATTTTATCCATCTGATCTTTTATTATATTATACATGTTTTTTGGTTTGGAGATACAAAAGTCGCAGAGGAGAACAAGTTTCTGCATTTAAATTTGTCCTGGTGGTAGCTGCAACCTATCTCCTTCTTTTCCATCTATGTTGGCTCCTAAGTTATTGAACTGTTCAACCTTACCCATGAAAGCTTCCCTGTTACACTGAACTATCGGTAGATGCAGCGTGCTAGAGCCCCTTCTCGTGGTTGTTTCACTAATTTTGTGAACACTATGATATTTGGTTCTACTTGGAAGAACACATTGTCCTGTATCACATTATACTCCAAAAGGAAAAGGAAAATGAAGAGAGTCAGAAACGATGGATGCGACCGCACGCACTCGCGGTTACCACGGTTTTGGCCCACCCTGTATACCACTTCAAGGTGAACCAAAAATAGATAATCAAGTCTCTCGTCTTGAACCATTCACTACAGGTCCCATAAGCAGGTTAGCGGCAGAGGTTAGGTTCAGTTTCGATCTAGCCGAAGAGAACGCACGGCAAATTACCACCCAGTTTCTCATAGGTATGGGTTCATACCAGATCGACAGCATTCATAATCTCACTCGGTGCGAGATCTTCCTCTAGTTTGATTTTGAATGGATGACATTATCCGAAATCCTCTCCTCTGCATCTCCATTTTGTCAGAAATCTCTATAAGATATACTTCGATTGTTTAATTGGTTAATCAAAAATCAATGTTTGCGAGAGCTTTGGCCTTGCGGTTTCAATGCCGATTCGCGGCTAATCGGTATATCACGTCATGTCTATACGTGTGACTGGTTATGACTATGTACATACCATAAACCAACTGTCCTATGCATGGTAAACGTTATCTCGTAGCGTATCACCGGATGCAGAATGCGAGATTCGATTCCTCCACGCTGAGGCGTAAAGTTCCCCTCCTATAACCTAGCCTCATTCTTGTTTTATTAAATGCTAAGACGCTCATTGAGACCTTTTGGTTGTACTCTCCTTTTGGATCGCCTGCTTCGTCTCGTTATTCTACAGGTTATCCAGTATTCTCTTCTGATGATCTTTAGGCTGATATATATTGAAAGGTGAGTGACTAATCGACTGGGCTCTCATTTTGACCCTTTTTAAAATAGTCTTTGCAGCAGTCAATCGTGTCTCAGCCTTTGTCTGAGTTCTCTTCGATCTATTCTTCAATTGGGGGTTGACGATGTGGGGTGGAGCAGAGCTTCACCGTTTCTAGTCAGCAAGCTTGCAACTCTGGTCACTGTAAGTTGATCGCTTCACTAATTCCTTTTGTGTTGGTCGGCCTCCGAGACCAAGGAGTTACCTTTAGGTAGAGCAAAACGAGAGGATTCGAATGTCGTCTTCATTGCTTTAGGCATGATTGAACAACTTCTCAACAGCGACAGGTGCGATTCATTCTCTTGCACAAAATTGTAAAGATTTTCTGGTGTTGTTCAGGCGTTGCACATGCTTAAATTTCTTTATAATCGGTCTTTCAGCGAACGATTCAAGATCTTGTTTTGTCTGAATTGCCTGCCCAATCATTGATTCGTCATTTGGAGAAATCTGACGAAAGAGTTGCCCTGGCGGCCCTGTCACTTATGAACGCTTTTTATTTATTTATTTATTTATTTATTTATTTATGGACATGTGAAACTCACATGTAAAGCAACATAACTAAATTCAGTAAGAAAAGACATCAACCAGGTGATACAAAACCGCACCAATTCAAATGATCTCATCAGTATTTTTCTTGAAAGTTACATACTTCAAAAAGAACACCAAATTGAGTTTAAAACACGACTTGAAAAAAGAACGCACCCTAGCTGCCAAAAGAAACTTCGAACCTTTACCTGGATCTATCTAGCATGGGACTTGTCAATCTAATGCGATGCACCCTCTTCTCCTGCATCGCAATACGAAACCACACACACAGAGCACAACACCGGTCAGATGCGTCGCCATTAACAAGACTTCTTAGAAATTTGAAGTCTGAGTCAAAGTCATACCTTGATCTTCCCCATTCCAACGACTTCAAGCCATATTTATCATTCCTAATTGACCGCTTGGTATGGTCAAATAATTTAAACCCGTACATCTAATCATAAGTTTTCGTGTGAAATTGTTCTGAACACTTTCAAGAGCTTGTATATCCTTTTCAAATGCGGATTAAATACCGTAGTACCACAGCTCCACAATAACTTTTACGTCATTTTAATCGTGCAGCACGTCATGGTCCTTCGTAGGTAGGTTTAAATGATTAAAATTTTGACTTACCACATTGATTTGTATGCGTGAAACTCATTCGGGTGGGACGGGGGGGGCTCCATTCTGCCCTGCTCCAAGCTCCTCACATAAGATAGAGCTCGACTGACAGCAATCGACTCATTTAAAGTAATTCTGTATAAATATTGGTGTCATGGTGAAAACCTGAACGTTCACATCCGCCACGCCATGACCCGCAGCCCCGGATTCCTGGACCACGAAATCGACACTCCGCAACGAAGTGGCTAATGGGTCAAACGGAGCTCCAGTGGACACCTGTGCAGAAAAGTGGATGGGATGTGGGCAGGTAGTGTGGAATGTAGGACATCCACCCGGTCCTTATCAAAAGTACGCTCGAAATGAGTCGTTCACTTATTATCTTATCCGTAGTGTTCGATAGCCCAAAGAACTGCTCTCTAGTACTACGGATAAGATAGCAATGGAGTGCCCCCCCTCTGATCGAACTGGAGTTTCCAGTGATTCTGTAATGCTTACTGAAGTTTAACTTGTAGTCATAGTGGAAACCCAAATCGCGAACTTCAGATACATGTTTCAGGACAACGTTGTCCACTGTGTAAGCTGGTTCATGTATGTGTGCACCTATGCGCATGACCTGTGTTTTTTCAATGGATAGAAGTAAGGCCATTTTCTCTGACCCAACACGCAGTCCTATCAATTGCCATTTGCAGAAGTGCGTCATTATTCTTATCTTCTTATATTTCTTTATAATCGGTCTTTCAGCGAAACGATTCAAGATCTTGTTTTGTCTGAAGTGCCTGCCCAATCATTGATTCGTCATTTGGAGAAATCTGACGAAAGAGTTGCCCTGGCGGCCCTGTCACTTATGAACGCTTTGCACGAGAAGAGCGATGCGCCAAGTCGGGAGCAGATTGTGAAGGTGGGCCTTTTGACTTATGCTTCAGATTTGTTTTATGATCAGTATTAGAGTGCTTAGTAGTTTTACTTGCGCAAAAGATTTTTCGCAAATGTGCACTCAAAATGAAGTCACTGGAAGCTTTCAGCAAGTGGAGATGACTTCGTCGTTCACTTTCCTTCGTGCTTAATAGAGAATAATTTGACCTGAGGTCGTTTGGTGAATGAGAGTTAGACTCATAAATCATAGCCCGTTTGTCGCTGCTAAGCATGATTTGGTTTTGATCTTCGAAAGGCCACGAATTGGCCTAGTGGAGGTAGCGCATGGCTAAATGTGCTGCACTGCATCGGTCGTTCTATAAGTCTTATCTCACTCACGGTCAGGCCATCCAATATCTCTATTTCTTCCGAGCAGTTAGGTTTCTATCTGACTTCCTGACAGAAAAACAAAGGGAGCAAGTGTACCCATAAGGAGGGGTTAGTTATGTGGACTGAGCTTAAGACAAGAGGCTGAAC